GTATTTTACTTTTCTTTTGAACATGTCTTGGGTATAAAAAAAGGGGCAGATATTATACGATTTATTCTTCTTCTGCTGCCTTTCATTTCATTTGATTTCATTTTGATTGTATGTTTTTTTTTAACTTTGTTAATTTTGTATTACAAATAAAACGAATAAACTACTACTAAATGAAGAAGGTGGTTAAGACTGACGAGCAGTGCGGTGCAAACGTGCTTAATGTTTGAAAGGTTTTATGAGCCTCGTCAAGCCTGAGCTTTATTTTACAACCACATGATGATGATTTGCAAATCTTTTTCAACCTACGTTCAAACGAATACACTGCAAACACAAGATATCTAATGTTCAAATGGATAAACTTTATTTTTTTTTGTAAATATTCCCTCATTTTGAATTTGTTGCTGCAACATGTTGAGACAGAGTCAACAACAGGAATATACTCAAAAAAACATCTGTTTGGTTCTTTTAGGTGAAGTTAATTAAAAACAGGTCATGATGACTGTAAAACAGGCTCTGTTCACAATGAAGGATGGGGCGGAGTTCACTGATTTGTTGTGGCATCAAATTCAAACAGAGTGAATATTTGCAAAAAAAAAACAAAGTTTATCCTTTTGAACATTAAATATGTTGTTTTTGTTGTGTATTTAATTGAATATATGTTGAAAAAAATGTGCAAATTATCGTATTCTGTTTTTATTCGTGTCTCATCTCCATTGGAACCAGTGTTGTAGCATTAAAAGGTACTTTCTGTTTATATGAGACAGAAACAGAACAGCATCCATTCGTTATCAGTAATGAGCTCGTTAGCACTTGTTGCTTTGCAGAAACAATTAAACTAAATCTCAGCTGCAGGTTTTCTGTATAGTTTTAGAAAATGTAACGTATCCATAAGAGGAAGTGGCTGCTTCTGTTTGCTCTGCTGACTCTATTAATAATTATTAATGAGCAGAATAAAAAAAAAATCCATTTTCCATCCATCTAAATTAAACACGACCACGACTTAACGTAGATGTTATGAACCTAATTAAAAACAAAAAGACAGCGTCGTGACATCCTGCCAAATTTTGATCGGGGACGTGATTCGGTCGTGCACCTCTGTGCTCCGTTGTTAATCGTGTCATTAAGAAATGCACAAGATGTCTTCTGGTGTGTGGGTGTTGTAACACAGCAGCTGTGGAGCTCCATCAGTATGCAGAGCAGGAACAAAGTTTATCAACACACTGTGCTAATCTAGTCAGAAGACTGGTCTCTGCGCTCCATCCATTAGTTTGATCTGAGGCACTCTGCGCTGACGTGTTTCTCTTTCTGCTCGTCGTTCACTTTCACGCTTCTCATTTCATTCACTCAAACCCTGAAGGCATCGTGTCAGTCAGAAACACACTGAGATTTAAACACTGACAGTGTTGTATAAAGTACCACAAAGTGATACTTGAGTAAAAGTACAAGTATCTTACTAGAAAATTACTTTGGTAAAAGTTAAAGTCTCCTTTAGGAATATTGCTTGAGTAAAAGTCTTAAAGTATCTGATATTCTTTGTACTTAAGTATTAAAAGTCAAAGTATTGATTTAAAATGAGCAGTTAGATTTTCTGTAAGGACATTTATTAGGAGGTGACCTCCCCCAAAAACTGCAGAAATGACTGTTGTATTAAAAGAATGAATGGATGTTAAATTTAGGATGCACTAGTCCAGCTGTTTCAGTTTATATACATATATCAAGGCTGCACAAAGC